ATTTGTTGGTAATGCGCAAGCTGGAGTCTGCCACAATTTGTTGGCGACCTCTAATATGGCCTCATCCAGAGGGATAGCCAATTTTGAAGTATGAGGCGTCTGGAGATTCTTTAGGAGACGATGCTGTTTCTCCTTGATCTCAGTAAGTTGAATCTCCTAGGAGACTGCTACTCTTTTAAAAAGCTCCTGGAATTGCCTGAGATCGTTAACCGCTTCATCCGATGAGGATGATGATGGATCAGTAGGCGATGTCTCAGGCTCATGCACCTCGGCTTCCATGGGCTGCTCCTCCTCCACCTCAGACTAGAGGACCTCAGGCCCTGAACCAAGCGGGGTGGGGGTTGGTCACAGGTGAGCGTCTGGAAGATGAGTAGTGAGTCCTGGACCTAGGGTCTGATCTGGAAGAGCGATGATAAGAGCAGTGGTATGGTGAATAGGTCCTGTAGTATGTGCGACTATCGTAAGGGTCGCGGTAGTCGCATGAAGAGCGGAAGGGGGAGTGATCATAACAGTGAGATCTGCTATATGCTGGCTTGTAAGAGTAGTTAGGAGAGTGAGGTAACAATGATGGAGAGTAATATCTCTGTGGTAACAGAGAAGGAGAGGTCGAAAACCGGTGATGGTACCGGTGGTGCTCCCTTGGTGGGGTAAGGAATGGAGATGGAAGGCATTCCCGAGAAGAAATATCCTGACTGGCGATCGCCTGGGTGACTGAGGTGGTGGTGGCGACGACGGCTCTGGCAAAAAAGTTGGGGATGGGGAGCGTGGTGACAGGCTCCGTTGACAACATGTCTTGATGGTAGCCTTCTTAGGCTGTGACCACTCAGTGCCGGAGTCGGTGCCAGTGCCTCTGTCGTAAGAGGCGGTGCCGTTGGGGGTCAGTGCCACCTGTGGTGCTGGTATCATCGGTGCCATGTGATCAGGCTGGTCTACCGGGCGGTCCAGCACCGGAGTCAGTGCCAGGTAGAGCTCGGCAGGCACCGGTGCTGTCTTAGGAGGCGGTGCCAAAGGAGTGCAGGTAGAACTTGGTGCCACAGTCATTGGTGCCGATGAATGGCATGTGGTCAGCACCGTGGAGGCAGGTTTTATTACTTTGGACGGTGCTGTTACAGTAGTGCGCACCATACACACCCCAGAAGTGCCCGGTTTATTGCCTAGATTCAATCTGCCATGCGAAGTAGCAGACAGAGAGAGGATTAGAGACGGCTTGCTTTTCCTTCGAGGGGCGGCAGTTAGAGAAGAGGCCCTTCGCTTCTGCGACTCCCGTGATGGCTGCGGGCGGAGGCAGATCCTTGAGACTGAAGAGCCTTATTGAACAGGATCATCCTAAGCCTCATCTCCCTATCTCGTCGATCTCTAGCTGTGAGATTAGAGCAGCGGGGGCACTTTTGTGGGATGTGGCTTTTGCCCAGGCAACGTATGGCCAGCGAATGGCCATCCGAGGCAGGCATTGCCTCATGGCAGGCCTCACATTTTTTGAACCCTGGTGAGCCAGGCATACCTCAGTATTTTTCTCTCTTTTTTTTTCTTAAATAGGGAGAAAGGTAGTGACTAAGGTGAACTAGGGAGTCAACAGAAACTTAAATAAATCTAAGCAGATAAGAACTTATGAACAATAACTTTAAACTGTAACTTTAATTATTTTTTTTTTATAAACAGGGGAATGAATGAACGGGAAGGAGAATAACTATAAGAACAGGTATAAATGAGAACTTTGAATTTCTTCATGAACAAGACGATCCGAGGAGAGCAGTTCCCTCCATCTGCAGCCTGAGGCAGTTAAAAGGAGCTGTCTGAGACTGGACCGAGCAGCGCAAAAGGGAGCAAACACCGTGAGATGCGCGTGCGTGGTCCGGTCAAACTACTGCTACGAAAAATCTCCATACTGCAGCGCCGGGGCAAGCCCAGCAGTGGAGCACCCAGGGAAACATCACTCGAAGAAGAACGATTGTTTAGAAGGCAGCCAGAAGGACAGGGAGCTAAAACCAAAGCAAAAGCAGCATAAGGTCTGTTCCTATAATCCAGGGTCTTTATATTCTGATCTTGATTAGAAGAATAGGATAGTGCTGTGTCTGCAGAATTTGACAGTGATTTCTAATTGGGCAAGCACATACAAACACAAAAGGTGGCCCTCAAGTCCTTAAGGCAAGGGATCTTGATGTGTGCCTGCTCAGAGAAGAAGAGAAAAAACCTCAAAAGGCAAGTCCTGAATAGTATTCTGGACTTCACAGAGTAGACCAGAAGACTGCAGCCATGAAGGCTTTCACATAGAGTGCACAGAAACCATGGTGTTAACTATCAACTCTGCCACACCCAACCGAGCCTGCAACCAAGTTTTTGTTATTAATCTGCCCTTGTTCACCAGGGAAGAGAACTCTGCCTAACATTTTCAGGAAGCAGATATGAATTTCTCCCTAGAATGCCACAAATTAGAACAACATTTAAGTAGAATCTGTTGCTCAGCAATTCTAAGCTATAATACCCTGCAGTCCAATAAACTTTTCTGCCAAAAAAAAATATATATTTTTTGCCTCTTGATTTGGGGGTGGAAGCTTGATGCCTCTGATGATCCCTTCATTAGCCACTGCAACCACTAGCAAACCTGGAGGAGGATGGGAAAACAGTTACATGTGAGAGGGCACCAGTGTTCCCTCTAAGATTTTCCAACCACGAGCGGAGCAAGTTTTGGATTGTGCACCAATATTGAGGTCATATGCACTGGTTTGGATGTGTGCCACCGTGGCACCGAATTTATTAACACACACATTCCCGGTCGCTGGAGCAGAAACCCATCCCCCTCTGCCACTATGCAGTGTATCCCATTCCCAGTGGCCAGAATAAACCCCTGCCCATCTCTGCTCATGCGGCATGTCCTGTTCCAGGCTGCTGGAGCAGACCCAGACATACACACACCCCGCCATGCAGCAGGTTCCATTCCCAGCCCCAGCCACCAGAATAGGCCCCAGTCCCCTACCCACCACCATGTGGCAGCCCCAGCCACCGAAGCAGGCCTCCCCCCACCACATGGTAGGTCCTGGCCTTCTGCCTCTGTGGCTCCCTCACCACGCCTTCTCAGCCAGCTCTGCCCACCGGAGCAGCCACCTGCCATGCAAGTGCTGCTGCATGGCTCTCCAGAGGAAATGGGCAGGGTAAGAATTTTTTGTGCACAGCCATGCAGGCACACACCTTAGCAGGAACTATGGAGGGCACATAACACTTGTACTCCACAGACTTTGAGGTAGGAGGCAAGGAAAATGAGGTCTACAAGTGTCTTTACAGGCTCCAAAATCACCTCATTGATTGGCAGCACACTTTAGATGAACCTGACATAGATAGCACATCAATTAGGTTATGAGAGGATTCTTACCTCCTTAACCTGAATTGTCATATCTGAAGCACCCCTCTAACAATTCTTCCTGTTAAGACTTGTAGCTGGCAGGATGGGGTGATTTTGCCTCCATGGAAACCATCCTATCCAAGGAGGACAAGGATGAAGCTAAGAGTACAAGTTGTTTAACTTCTACAAAATGCCAGTGGTTCCTAACACACCTCTTTTAAGGGACCACATCCCAATGACCTCCTGGCTACAGTCTCACAGACTCCTATTGTGGGTTCAATAGAGTACCCATAGAAGAAGGAACTACATGGGGAGCACTAAGTGCTGCTCCAAGACTGACAGATATGAGAGCCCACCTCAGAGTCCAATGAAAAAGAATCCCTTTGTACAGACAATGGAGGGTCTATCCAAGTTGATTCTAGTGACTGGTGCTCAGAACTCAGCAAAGACTATAGACACACCATCATTGCAAACTTCTCTTAGATAGCACAAATGGATAGACTGTCCAGGAAATAGGCAGCTGGTGCACTACTGAGTGCTGTATCATAGATGTTGACACAGAGCGATTTAATAGTACCATGGGAGTGGATTCCTTACCAATAATTTCAGGAGCAACAAAAAAAAGTTAAAAGTTTACTCTGCAAATGCTTCAAGAGTATTCAACACCAAGATCATATCTGGTTGCCGCAGTGCTGCTGAAGCTGATGGGTATCATTTCTGGTACAGGACTCAATGGTGCCCATTCTGGCACTGGAGCTAACTGCAGTCTTTGGCACTGATTGCTAAGGAGTGATTAGAGCTCAGTTTCCCTCTACTTCAGCCCCTTTCCCCTTGCTTTGCAAGGAAACTTACGCTGTAAGCACAGGGGGCGGTAACCAGTACCAAGACTAGGATAGTCTTGGAAGCAAGCTTCTGACTGAAGCTGTAGCATTCAGCTATGAGTCAGACCAAGTCGCTTTGAGAGTCATCTAGGCTCTGCCTCCTTTAGCTAGAACTTCAGCCTTACCATGCTTGAAGTCCTGACAAATCTGGAACTAGTCCTTCACGTGTGCCTTGCCTAGGCACTTACAACAAATGTTGTTTGAGTCACTCTCAGGTATGATTTTCAGCAAGCAGTACATCATTTGAAGCCCAGTAAACCAAGCATGCCTAGGAGTCAGCAACAGAAACCCGAAACAAGGAAAAATATGAAAGCAGATGGTACTCAAGCTACACACCAGGTAATGCTGAGGGGAAGTTTGATAGCCAAACACTGGCATTCACAAGTGCAACTACTCGAACAAGAACAAGTGTTGACAACATTTCTATTCACAGTAAAAAGCCCAAAACACAAAATCAAAACACTGGTGTCCAGGTGCCATATTTTAATTAAATTAGAAATATAAAAAAAAAACAACATGTAACAACCCTAAACTCCCTTACTACTTCCCACCCTCAAGATTGTGCTCTCTGGATAGAGTTTCATCTGAGCTTAGGTAAAATCATCAAAATAGGTCTCTCAGCATAACAAACAAATAATGTTAGAGTATTACACATGTATATGATATAGTTTATCAGTTCTAACAGATTACAGATTATCAAGATACTGTAATAGTTTGTGTTGAACACTCACATTTAAATGTTTAAATGTTATTTTTGATTGAGTAATAATAGTTATACATACCTGAGATGTTTCCCAATATATCTTTAGTATTACAAACCAGGTTTTCATTTTCTCCTTCTTTAAAGTTTCCCAGTTCTCCATAGTAAAGAGCAATTCCAAGCTGCATTATGCGTATAAACATAGGGAGCTGCTGATCAGTGATGGAAAGCTTCAAACTTTCAACCAATGTATGAATCTACAGAATAAAGAACACAGAAGCAAATAATACAATTTGATCTCACTAAAATCAAAACTAAGATACGATGCATAGTATAAATAGCAGGGGTTTGCAACATTTTCAAACCAAAGAACCAAACTATATCAAAATTCAGAAAATGTGGTCAACAAAGAACTGTTTAAAAATGCAGGAGTCAGGGCTGGGGTTGGGGGGAGGGCACTCAGGGTGGGGGGAAGTGCTAGAGTTGGGGTAGGGAGCCCTCAGGCCAAGAGGTTGAATGCGTGGGTGGGCTTAGGGCAGGAGATCTGGACTGTAGGAGTCAGGACAGGACCAAGGAGACATGGGCAGGGGATGGGTTTGCAGGAGCCAGGGCAGTGACTAAGTGGTCTCATGGCAAAGGGTGGGGGTGCAGGAGTGAGACCAGAGGCTGGGAGGTGTGGAGCGCTGAGGACAGGAAGTGGAGGGGAGCAGGGTAAAGGGTTGAGTATGAGGTGGGGCTTAGTGCAGAGGGGGTGTAGGAATCAGGGCAGGGTGTGGAGGGTTAAAGCAGAGGAATCGGGGGGGAGGGGGCTTACCAGAGCTGCCCACAGCACTGAAGGTGGTGCTGCTCTGGGAGCAGGGGCATAATTTCTAAACCTCCTGGACACCTCCTCCAGGGAATGGAGCAGAAGGCAGTTTCTGCCCTCCCACAGCATTTCCCCAGGGGGGCAGTGGTTTCTGGCCCTCCCCTGGTGTGTCATGAGGCAGGCAAAAACTGAGCTGTGGTTCCCAGTTGACCCCCTCCCATTTCTTCTGGGAATGGCAGGGAATTGCTGCACCACGCTATTCCCCCCGTTTCTTGGAAGTAGGGAGGCTTCCAGGCCACGATTTGCAGGCCCCTGGCTCTTCATGGGATGGGTGGAGGCCACCACGCCATGGTTTGCAGCCCCCTGGCATGTCCTGTGCAGAGCATCATAGTGCCCCCCCTTTGCATGTTCTGGGGAAGGGCTGAAGCTGGGGCCAGAGCCACATAATGGCTGTCCAGCTGCTCCTTGGGTGGGCCACATATCTGTACCCAAACCCTGCCACACCACAGCCCAGCTTCAACTCCAGCAGCCACCCACCAGTGGCTGCCAAAAAAGCCATATTTGGTTCCCTCGTGAGCCATATTTGGCTCATGAGTCATAGGTTGCCGAGCCCTGATAATAGAAACATTCTATTGTTCTCTTAAAAAATGGAATGACTATTATAATATCTTTAAGTCAAAAACATTCACACTTCAGAACCTAAATAAGAACATACATGAGAACAGCTATACTGGGTCAGATCAAAAGTCCATCCAGCCCAGTATCCTTCCAAAATTGGCTCTGACAGTAGCCAGTACCAGGTGCCCAAGAAGGAATGAACAAAACAGGTAATCATCAAGTGATCCCTCCCCTGTCAGCTTCTGACAAACAGAGGTTAGGGACACCGTTCTTACCAGTCCTGGCTAATAACCATTAACGGACCTATCCTTCATGAATTTATCTAGCTCTTTTTTGAACACTGTTAAAGTCCTGGCCTTCACAACATCCTCTGGCAAGGCATTCCACAGGTTGACTGTGCATTGTATAAAGAGATACTTCCTTTTGTTTCTTTTAAACCTGCTACCTATTAATTTTATTTGGTGATCCTTAATTCTAGTGTTATGGGAACAAGTCAGTAACTTTTCCTTATTCACTTTCTCCACACCAGTCATGATTCTATAGACCCTTATCAAATCCCCCCTTAGTCTCCTCTTTTCTAAGAGAAAAAGCTCCATTCTTTTTAGTCTCGCCTCATATGGCAGCCGTTTTATTGTATTTATGTCTCAAAGAACATGGGTTACAGAAACAGGTAATGGTCTTTTCTTCTTCGAGTTCTTGCTCATATCCAACACAGGTGACTGCAAGCACTGTCTGCAATGGGCAGGTAGGAGTTGAAGCACATGGAGACTGCAACACTGTTCTGCTGAATCCCATGTCATCTCTAACATGCTGTGTGATGGTGTAATGAGACATGAACGTGTACACTGAAGACCATGTTGCTGCACGGTAGATATCCTGGGATCGGGACAGGTTCAAGAAATGCCCGTGAAGAGGCCTGAGCCCTAGTCAAATGAGGCAGCTGACCACCTGCCAATTCATAACACATGCAGATGCAAGAGGTGATCCACTTGGAGCTCTTCTGTGAAGATACAGGAAGAACCTTCATATACTCAGTACAAGCCACAAAGCTGCATGGACTTATGGGAAGGTTTCATTCTCTCCAGATAGAAAGCCAGTGCCCTCCTGAGGTTCAGACCATGAACACACCACTCCTAATTGGTCATCTGAGATAGAAGACCAGAAGGAAGATATCTTACCCCAAGTGCCCAACCCTGACACTACCTTGGGCAGAAAGGCTGGGTGAGGTCTAAGTTGTACCTTATCCTTAAAGAAGCATGTATACAGAAGTTCTGATGTCAGAGCACAAAGTTCTGATACCCTTCTGGCAGAAAAAATTGCTACAAGGAAAGCCACCTTCAGAGAAAGAAATGAAAGAGGCAAGCTGCTTGAATGGAGGGCTTGTCAGTCTAGCTCAGACCAGATTCAGGCCCCAGTGGAGGATAAGAACTGGGGTCTGTGGAAAAAGCCTTTCCAGGCCCTTCAAAAATCAGGTTTGATGTCATGAAAAACCACTAAGTGGCCTTGAATTGGCAAGTGAAACACGGAAATAGCTGCAAGGTGCACTGTGTTTGAGTCTAACACAAGACATTCCTACTTCAAGTGCAGGACATAGTCAAGGATCAAATGGAGAGGAGTGTCAGCCAAGGTGACCTTCCTTTGTACTGCCCAGGTTGAAAATAAAGTCCATTTTGCCATGTACATAGGCTGAGTTGAGGGCTTCCTGTTTTCAGGGAATACCCTCTGGACATCAGCTGAATAGGTCTGCTGTTAGGAGTTCAGTCACTGGGGAACCAAGCTGAAAGGTTGAAGCAGTCACAGGTCCGGGTGAAGAAGGCAAACCATGGTCCTCAGACAGTAGAGCCCTGCAGAATGGCAAAGGACAAGGAGTCTGTGCCAGGAGACTCATATGAGCGCCAAACTAATGCTGGCACAGCCACACTGGTGCAATCAATATGACGTTCACCTCATCCTGCTTGATCAAAGGAAATGGGGAAAATGCATACATGAGACCTTCTGTCCACAAAAGGAGGAAAACATCTGCGATGGAGCCCTCTTCCAGACACAGCCTGGAGCAGAATCCGAGGCATTTCTTATTCGCTCTCGTTGCAAACAAGTCCACTCGGGGAAACTCCCACTCTTGGAAGAAAGAGAAGGCTACCTGAGAAGTTAACACCCACTTGTGGTAAGAAGAGAATTCTCTGCTCAGACAGTCAGACTGTTTTGGGTTTTCAGGAGATGCCACGTTTCCAAGAGAAGTACCCAGGAGAACGCAGAAGTCCCAGAGCTGGATTGCTTTTTTGTAGAGAGGCATGGAGCGGGCTGTCCCATCTGTTGATGTAGAACATGGTGGATGTGTTGTCTGTTAGGACCCAAACCATCCTAGCTGACAGGTGAGGTAGGAACAATTTCCACACGTTTGAAACAGCCTGGAGTTCTCTGACATTTATGGGCAGGATCCTCTCTTCTGAGAACCATTCCCCCTATGTCCAAAGCATTCCCAGGTGAGGATCCCATCCCTAATCTGAGGCATTAGATACCAACTCCTTCAAATGGTGAGGATATTGAAAAGGAACAACAGATATGTTGTTGTCCTGTATGGTCCACCACATCACGAACAAAAGAATGTGTGTCAGGACCATCTCTACTGTTCCAGGGAGTGTCAAGCCAGGGACTACATGGACGCTAGACATATCTGAAGCCAATGCACCTTGAGCCTGGTGAGGCGCACGGCATAAGTGCATTGCTGCCATGTGGCCAAGAATGAGAAGGCAAATTTGGGCAGTGGTCAGAGGCACCAGGAACAACTGCTGTATAAGGGCCAGAAAGGTGTGAAACCTCTCCCAGGAAAGCAACATTCTGGCCATGGTGGAGTCCAGTCCCACACTAATGAATTTGATCCTTTGTACAGGAACACAGAAGGACTTCTTTTTGTTTACCAGGAGACTGAGCCAACAGCACATGGTGAGGAGGAGAGCTATGTCTTGCTGGACCTAGAGTTCGGAACGACCCCCGAAGAGCCACTTTTCGAGGTAGGGATATACCTGGACCTCTTGGCATCTTGGGTAGGCCACTACCATCAATATACATTTCATGAAAACTCTGGGAGCCAGGCCTCTTGTAAGTGCTATGAATTGGTAATCGTTTAGCCCAACCTTGAAACACAGAAAACCAGTAGCCCTTGAAGATCATGATGTGAAAATATGCATCTTTGAGGTCAAGGACAGCATACCAGTCTCCTAGATCCAAATTAGGGATAATCAAAGCCAGGGAGACCATGAGAAATTTGAGGTGGACCAGGTATCGGTTCAGGCCTCACAGTCCAGATGGGATGAAGGCTCCCTCTGGCTTTGGGGATTAAATTTTAATGCAATTAAAAATCCCAGTTCTCAAAAAAGGCCAGTACCCTTTTCATTGCTCCCATTCTGAGAAACTCCGCAACCTCCTGCTCAAGGAGTTCTCATGAGAAGGATCTCTGAGAAGCAACAGAGAAGGTAGGTAGAGGATAGCTGGAGCATATAGCCATGCTGTATTATGGCTAAGAGCCAACAGTCTGTGGTGATGTCTCTCCAGGCCAAGAGGAAGGGGGCAGAGTTCAGACAAAAATAAATGAGGAAGTACGGCCCTTTTGACTAGGGCAGCTGAGGCTTAAACTTCTTCTTTTCAGGCCCTGGTACATACAAGCCCCAGGTCTTTAGGATCATATGGGAGTTTTAGCCCATGTAATTTTGTGTCCGTTTGTTGAGCAAATAGGGCCACACCATCAAACAGAAGGTCCTGTATCAAGTTCTGAGCCTCCAGGGATAGGCCCAACAGGCCTAACTATGCTACCCTCTACATTGAGATTGCAGATGT